TCGTAAATTGCAGCATTTTGTCTCAAAAGGAGCTTTTGATATTGAAGGCTTAGGGGCCAAACATGTTGAGGCTTTTTATAAGGAAGGGATTATTCGTTCTGCAGTGGATATTTTTCGCTTGAAAGAAATTAACGAGACCCTTTCGCCACATTTAGAAATACGAGAAGGGTGGGGAGCAAAATCCACAAAAAACCTTTTTGCAGCCATTGAAGAAAAACGTACTATTTCTTTAGATCGTTTTATTTATGCGCTGGGGATTCCTCAAATTGGAGAAGTCAGCGCAAAGTTACTCGCAACAACCTATGGCAGTTACAAAGCTTGGATGGATGCTATGGCACAGGCGTTGGGCTCTTCTGATTCTGAAGCATACCAAGACCTTATTGCCTTAGACGGAATTGGGGAAGTGGTTGCTGACTCTTTGCTACTTTATATAACGGATCCAAAGCACCAAGCGTTGCTTTCTGAACTGGTAGATCAGGGATTGGTTCATATTCAAGATGTTCAAGGAGTTGGGGAAAGCGTGGAGAGCCATCCTCTCTTTGGGAAAACGATTGTCTTTACAGGCATTTTAAAGAATACGACTCGAGACCAAGCAAAAGAGCGCGCACGGTCATTGGGGATGAAGGTCACCAATTCTGTCTCTTCAAAAACAGATTATGTGGTTGCAGGGGCAGATCCTGGGTCAAAAGTGAAGAAGGCCCAGGATCTAGGCGTTACAATCTGGGATGAAGACACGTGGATTGCCAATCAATAGCTATTTTTGATTGGCGCGTTCAATACTTTCTAGGATGAGAGTGTGTGCCTTTTCTGCATTATCCCATCCTTCAATTTTAACCCACTTTCCTTCCTCACCATCTTTATAGTGAGAGAAAAAGTGCTGAATGCGTTCCAGCTTGCCTTCTTCAATATCGCTATATTCATTGATAATGCGCCTTACAGGTGTCAGGCGTGGAGAGGGGATCGCGATGATTTTCTCATCAGGGCCACCATCGTCTTCCATCAATAAAACACCGACAGGTTTACAGGGGACAATTGCTTTGTGGGCAACAGCGAAGTCAGAAACCACAAGGACGTCAATGGGATCGCCATCAAGAGATAGGGTGTGCGGAACAAAGCCATAGTTGCCAGGGTAAGACATGGCGGCGAGGCGAAAGCGGTCGACAAACAACGCACCGCTATCTTTATCGAGCTCATATTTAACATTTGTTGTCCCAAGGGGATTTTCAACAATAACGTTGATTTCATGAGGGGGATTCTTGCCAGGGCTGATTTCGCTAATATGCATGGGGGAACACTCTTATTTATTTTTCGGGTCTATGTGTCATTAAACAGTGCTTCTTTTGGTCTATATTCAGTTAAAATACAACCATTTTTTATCTACAGGTTTGTTTTTATGAATATTTATTGAAGTTCTGATTATCGTTTAAGGGGGGGATGTAAAGAAATGCCAGGTTTGACTTATCCCAGGAACTACTTAGGGTTATTCGAGAAGGGATTTTATAAAAAATCACCGAGGGCGAATTCCCTCGGTGATTTGATGGGTAAGATCTTTAGGTCTTAGGTTTTGAGTAATATTCCCGAATTTTTTCAGGAAGGGACTCATTTTCCACAACATACTCTACAGGTGGAACGTACTCTGTGGAAACAAAATCCGTATCAAGGGCGATTCTAATTTCCTTTAAAGCCTTTCGTAGGTAAGGTTCTGCATAAGAACCATCTCCGTAAGGGCTTTTGTTTTTTGCTCTAAAGTCTACGTACTTTTGAACAAAAAAGTGTACAACTTCATTTTTCAGTTCAACATTAACGTCTTTGAACATATAGAGTTTATAGAGAAGGTTTTCTAAGATTTGAAAAGCGCGATTGTGACCCCAGTAATTATAAGAGCTCAACTTCATCCCTTTCTTCAGAACCGAAAGAAATCTCATGGTGTGGTGCGGGAACAAGCACATTAATGAGGTCAAAATCGCCTTCAATTGTGTCAAAACGCACTTTCTGAAACACCTCTATGCCATTATATTCTAAGTTTACGTATAGATCGTTTTCTGTAGATACATCATCTTCAGTTGTCTCTAATCCGCGCAGACGATTGTTAAATGCTCTACTGCCTTTTTAGACATTAACTTGATAGAAATTCCATTATATGACCATTCTATGCAGCGAATGATGCTGAGCATATCTCTTAGTTTATAAGAAGACTTATCAAAAGCGAGTAAAGATCCATTGATCGTCATACGGCCTGACTCGATAATTGGAAATAAGTCATATGCAGAAATAGAAATGCTTTTTTTGTTTCCAAGCTCATATGCAATAGTGTGTAATAAAGTCTACATATTCTTTTTTTGTTTTAATGCCTGGAATCATCCGCTCGTTCCAAAGGATGTCTTGCTCTGAGATAGTTTTAAAATGCCTAGAAACGAGAGCCATTTTTCCAAGATTTTTTGCGTCTAGAAATGAGCAAGTAACGGTTAAGGGATCATCAGGGATTAAGTTAATGGGACCAACTTCTTCAATTTCATCTGTAGAGGCATGAGTAAAGGAAGATGGAAGGGAAGTGTCTAACGGTAAAATAAGTGAGAGCTTTGTCAGTTTTTTAAGAGTGTGTTTCATCATTTTACCTTGTTTAGATTGTGCAACAACAATGAAAATCTATGGAAGTTTTGCTTTGACTGCCAATAACAGTGCTTTATAAGTGACATAATGAAGTTTTATTGGAAGAATCTTGTGAATATTTTTAAATACTTTGTTCTAGTTTTCTTATTTTGTTCTAGGTGTGTCCAGGCCAGTGATGTGATTTTTGAATGGGACCATAGGAATCCTGGGTCTGTAATTGCTATCGATATTTTCCATGATGATCGGCTTTTGGGGACGATCACACCAAAACAGAAATTATCAATAGGCGTTCCGAAGGAATGGCACGGTTGCGAGTCCTCTTTTTTCTTAAAGCCTGATTTAGAAGGGATGGGAAAAGTGGGCCCTGTGGAATTTTATGCTGCTTTGAGCCAGGCACGTTATAGGCCCCTGATTCAAATGAATATTGCAAGAAACACCCTACACTTTTCTGTTGATGCTTTGGAAGCAGGTCAAAGGATTGTTTATGGAACACAAAAGGTCGTGTTAATGCCTCCAAAAGCGAGGCAGGGTAGGGATATAAAAAGAAAAAAGAAGGCTTACGTCCCTAAGAAAATGGAGAAAAAATAAAAAAAGCAATAATTTACATGTGCTTGTGGTGTTTTATCGTTCGACCCCAAATTTTAACATATTGGTGACAAATATTAGGTGACAGTGATCAGTGTCGTTAAATAGGGAGAAGGATGATGAAGATTACTCACTTTTTAGGGGTGTTTTTTGTAAACACTGCTTTTATAGTATCAAATGTTCTTGCCTCGAAAATCTTTCAGGAAGAGGTTATCCCGCAAGGATTATCAATTACTCACTTCAAACAATCAGAAGTTGTTGAGACCTACCTTTTTCCAGAAGAGGGCGCTTTTGAAGCCATTCTAAAGGTAGTGAAAAGTAAAAAAAAATCCTTTTTAAAGATGTTTAAGAACACCTATCGGGTTGACTTTGTAGGGGGGAATGAGGAATTTCATCAGAAGTTTTCAAAGTGCCAGTTAAGATTATCTTTTTTTAAAAAAACAGAAGATGAGCAGGGCCTTAAGCCAACCTACTGTGTTTTTGTTTATCAAGATGAGCAAACTTGGAAAACGGTCGCAAGATTTGCCGCTATTTTAAAGCGCCTTCCTAATCAATATGATTTAAAGCGTTCTCAAAAATTGAAGAAAAAAAGGAAAAATAAAGCTTTTTAATCCGTAACTTTATAGGTGTAAAAATCTTTCTCTGATTTTCTGATCTAATTTTAATAAATTTTTTTCTATTTTGTGGTGAGCTGAAAAGATATGGCCAGGTAAAAAATGCCTTGATTGTCTTTTTGTAAAAAATATTTTTACTGTTTTTTGCTTGGAAAAAATCATTTCTTGGGAAGCATTTGCTGAGAGTTTAAGAGTTTTTCAACTTTTCGATAAGGAGTTCTCCACGTCTTCTTAAATGTCTGTAAGGCAGAATTGAACACTCTTGGTCCTGTGATGAAAAAGACAGGAGGAGAGTATGGAGAAAAGTTCATGTTTATTTTTAGTGTCATGCAGCATTTTCGCCCTTTGTTTATCAGCGGAAAAAGTCTTTGGGTCCTCGGATTCGGTAGAAGATGACAGCTCTGATTCCATAAAGATTTCAGAAGTTGTTCTTGAGGATGATAATGATGGCGAGGATGATGAGGTTGTTTTGTCTGAAAGTCGTGCACTTGTTCCTTTAAAACGTTCTATCCCAGATCCCATT